TATTGTCGAAAAAAGAACTTGCATCGTATAAAAACTGTGTTTTGAAAGAAGTGATCTCCAAACAATTCGAAATCAAGGACTTCCACAAGCACTCAAAATATTCATTTCCGTCCTGTTCAATGTCTACAAGTGCAATGGTATTTACCATCAAATTGTTTAAAGCTCTCTGAAGGAAACAAAACTATAGCCAATAGCTTTTCGATAAGCATTGAGCATTCCACACTACGTACTGATTCACGGTTAGTTCTAAACTGGCGCCTTACTTGCTGGCTGCTGCAACGGCTAATGCACTGTCCGGATTGGGGGTGCGGGAGGTAGACCCCCACATACCCCCGCATGGCGGGAACTTCTAAGCACGCTCGCGTTAAAAACTCATGCCAGCTACTGAGCAGGGTAAGCCAATGGTGGCCTGACCAGCCACTGATTTCGTGTGTCATTTGACCCTTATATTTTTTTCCACGAAACTACTCAAAATAGCTCCTATTTGGCGGCTAAATAGAAGAGGCGGCCATTTCGCTTCTGATTCATCTCTAATCCGAGAGTCGCAACCGAAATCGGAAGGATAGCCGCGCGTAAATTTTGACAGGGCAATGTCTTCTAAAGGCATCACTCAGTAAAATGAATGGGTCTTACTGTCCAAATAGTGACACATTTTCTGCCCGTAGCACTGTTACGCCCTTTTGCGTGACCTATAACTGGATCAGCGAAAAACGCTTCGCGATTTTGACAATTACCCCATCATTTTCGTGAGTGGTCCCCTGAATTGTCTCCACTCGCCAAATGCTGAGTGGCCAGCACACTCTGGTCAGCCTAGCTGGTCTGGTATCGATAAGACGCACATTACGCGGTCACAGCATCGCTAATGGTTGTCGTGCTCAGACGCAATCCGGAAATTCCTTCCAACATCGCACTTTGACACGCGCTTCTGACGAGCCTTATTCCGGGACAAGATGGATTCAAATCGGCTCCAAAAGCCGACTTTCTACAGACGAAATTTTTTAAGCATGATTTTGCAGTCCATTCGAAAGTGAATTTAGAGATTTCTATATAAGTTTCCGGATTTTTTCTTATTGATTCAGTGCCGCGCTAAGCGTTTATTTATTTTTTGGTTATTCTGATTGATTTTTCGTAAAATTTTGCGCGTGCATGAAATTGAAAAATTCCATATTTAATATCCTACACAAATTAATTCAATGTTCTCAGTTACATAAATTGAAATATTAAACTCTGTTCACTGTTTGAAATGCCAGCAGTGCAAATCAAATCAGCTACTGGCAGCCGCAAATTTACTTACCAGCTGAAGTACAATAACTTCTCGGTATCAATTCATCATAAAAAGTAGGTTGAATTCGACTTTTCCCCAAATTGTAACAATTAGACCTTCCAGCGAGGTCAATCTTTGCTCTACGCCTATCACATCCCTTTCAATCTTTTAAGCTCGTACATAAATCCACTTATGGCTCATCCTAACCCATAATTTTTTACGGTTGGTCTTCAGTCACGAGCAAAACCAACAGCGATTGTAGGGGTAACCTAATTGCCGCTAACTCGCCTGTAGACCGCATCATGAAGCTCTTCTTACCTGACCGCCTGTTTTGTTTCGACTTGTTTGTTATTCTGTGGTCAGATTGTCATGTCCCTGCTAACCTTGTACCTCCTAACCTTTTATCTGTGGGTAGACTCGTATTAAGCTAACTATCTCTGCTCTTTCTTTTCATTGTAGTTTGCTGATTCGCCGAGTGTCGAATTCGATGGTTCGAATCTTGTGTCAATCATATTCTCTCACTTGGGAACTCCAATAAATTTACCGAATTTGAAATTCACTTAGATCAATTTGGTTTACTGAGAACATCATTTCTATTTCAAAATAAGTGTTCATCACTTCGGGAATATGTGAAAACGCTCGAAATGCTGTGTTGGAAGCATGAAACATCTACCTACGTCTTCATTGCATAAGCATTGCGTTTCCTCTAGAGCGTTGCATTACTGCGTATCTTCATATCGATCAATGCGACCGTTATCGATCAACGTTGTCGTTACCGAGAGCCTTGGCCGTTATCGATCAACGTTGTCGTTACCGAGAACCTTGGCCGTTATCGATCAACGTTACCTCATGCCGCTTCATTACCGAATGTAACAGATGATAGCGCTTTAGTGTTCATTTCGAAGAATACTGCCTGGGTTTAAAATAAATATTTATGAATTTATGAGCCCAACGTGGAATCGTTAGCTATGGCTTACACTGGTCCACCTGTATATCGCCGTTAAATCCGTGTTGACACCCAGTTTGTTGGGATTATGCCCCAGTATTTTTAGGTTAAGCCCAAGTATACTTTTTAGTGGATAAAATAGAATTACAGCATCTCAATAATGAACTTAATTTTATCTACAAAATTGAGCAATCAAAATCAAATTGACATCCATTACATCCTCATGAGTTGAGTGGCACTTTCCTCGTAACAGCAAATTCTATACATCTAAAATGCTTTTTATGTGCAATATTTCCATCAATATCATCATGTAAACCAGTTTAAATTTCCTATTCAATACGTTACATGAAATACGTCAATACGTTATATGAAAAGCATTCTTTGCAACACCGCTTGGGGGTTGGTAGCGGTCCGTGATCGCCGTTATTAAGTGACAAAACCGTTCCACAAAAACGCTCTTCATAGCGCTTGCGTTCTAGGTGACGCCACTGTTCGTAAAGACAATCATGTTGCCGTTATGTGGTCTGATAAAGAAAACCGTTTCTTCATAGTTATTCTAGTACTGGGGACTTGATTATGAATAATTGTTTGCCAAGGTATGTACGTAATTTGAGGTTAGTTCAAAATCAATATTGTTGAACCATTTGAAATCAATTTGGATTATCGGTGCTCGATTAAAGACGACTGTCATTTAACAATGTTTTTAGTTAAGAAGTGCCCATTTACAATGTGTCCCCGCCTAAATAGGTATTTTGATTTTCTGCTTGAATTTTAACGTCTGCAAGAAGCTCGTTGTCGACAGTTCAAACATTCTACAATCTTAACGTGAAAGAAATAATAAATTTCGCTCCTTAAAAATTATCTTACCTAGGAATCTAAATTCAGCCGCTGTTTATTCAACAATAATTTTGAAAATGCGACTATTCGAAATTCATAGCTTGATTTCAAGCGTCTGAATGTCTGCTATTCGGTAGTTACCCACCAGCGTCAGGTAGTGCACAGAGTCTAGCCTGCGATACAGCCTAGAGGCTGAAGCTAAATTAGCATCAGCCACAGGCGGTGGTTATTCTGCTCAGAAATTACCTGCCCGACTGTGGACCTGGTCGGCTTATGGTTGGCCATCCTAAATACGATGGTTATTTTCTAATTATTTCCTGCTTCTTTCCTGTGATGGGCTTTTAACTTCGAACCCTCTGGCTGAAGTCTGTCGTTTTTACTATATTTTTTTTTACACAACTTGTATTTTTTTTCTTATGATGCTTGTGAGGAAACGAAGACGCCGTGTTGCCCTATTGACCTTTGTGTTATTGCTAAGGAAGGTTCAGTGGCATGTGGGCCGCTGGGTTACAGGCGGTGATGTGGTTCAGTGGCATCTGGGCCGCTGGGTTACAGGCGGTGATGTGGTTCAGTGGCATGTGGGCCGCTGGGTTACAGGCGGTGATGTGGTTCAGTGGCATCTGGGCCGCTGGGTTACACGCGGTGATGTGGTTCAGTTGTAGACATGAACAATGTATGATACTTGCGCTGGTGCATTGCCACTTTGCTATAAACGATACTGAGCATCACACCAGCGACATTTAGACATGGACACATCGTACTAATTCGTTTAAAAAATAAATGAAAAGCAAATTGTAAAAAAATTATTTAACTAGCAGCAAATGCCACTTAGCTAGCAACAAAACATTAAAACTAGAACTAAATAGAACCTTAACTATCAAAATACCACTTAACTAGCAATGAATACCACTTAACTTGCAACGAATACCATTTAACTTGCAATAAATACCACTTAAATAGCAATAAATATCACTTAAATAGCAATAAATATCACTTAACTGGCAATAAATATCACTTAACTGGCAATAAATATCACTTAACTAGCAATAAATACTTATCCCCAGCAACAAAACACTATAAGCAGCAACTTGTGTGTTCAGGAGCACTGGAATTTCTACGGGGAGGACGAGCAGCTGGGGCCGCTGGTGCTGAGCTTCAAGACCGAGACCATCAGCAGCCAACCGCACGCCCGCCTCCTGCTGCGTCTGCAGACCGGCACACTGCACCACCGCGTGGCCACTGCACCTGCTGTGCCTGCACCACTGCAGCTGGCTAAGGTGGGATGTGTGGTGTGAGGGGTGGCTNCCCTGCAGCTGGCTAAGGTGGGATGTGTGGTGTGAGGGGTGGCTACTGCACCTGCTGTGCCTGCTCCACTGCAGCTGGCTAAGGTGGGATGTGTGGTGTGAGGGGTGATCAAGATACCAGCTGTATTGTGTAGTAGCAAAATGGCTATAATTTTAGCTTCCATTTAACCTCTACTGCGAGATCGGTCTGGTGAAATTTATATCAATCACTATAGTATTATAATTTGTATACTATATAGATCCATATACAATATAGAAGATCTAATAAAAAGCCTGGCAATCGATGAATATGAATATCGATGGCAATCGATATTCATTCACTCGGGACATTCATGAATCATGCTGTGAACTTTCCTTCCTCTGACCTTTTCACAATTTGAACTGGCCTTCCTCTCATTATAAAAGGCAAGTGGAGGCGTTGTCCGTCATGACCTTTGATTCCCGTGACCTCCGATCACACAAACGCTGTCAGAATAACAGAATATTTTTCTCATTGAGTGATGGACCGCTGCTTTCCCTCCATAGCTCAACGGCCATAGCAGGATATGGTCACGTGCACTCAGTGAAGCAACCGAGACTTTGTGCAAATTGTGATGCAATTTTTGAACCCTGTATGAGTCACCCGGCCCAGTTGGGCTGATAAATGGGCCTATCAATGATAGGCTGGCTCTCTGTTCGTTCAGTGGGTTAGAACGTGTCCACTGTTTGGACAATTTGACTCATTCATCTTCTGAGTGATGGACTCAGTGCCGTTATATGAGAGATTTTGTGTTGGGCGTTGCTTGCGAGGATACCGTTACCGTTAGGTTACCGGTATCGAGATTAGCGTAGAGAAGATATAAATACTTTTATCTCTACATTAAAACGTGGTATTTGATATCATATATAAAGTATTTGATATCAGATACCAAACATTTTTATTTACTCTCTTAGCTCGATCGTTTACACGTATGAATTATTACAATTGTTAACACGCTGAAAATGTTCATTATTGTGAGTATATATAAATTGTATTTTTTGATATTTATGACACTTCATTTCCCGTGTGAACAACTTTTCCAGAAGAAATATTTGTTGACGTGATAATTTTTTCTTAAATCGGAACCACGTTTGAATAATTCAAGTAGAATGTTTTTTAGAATCTTCATGCGGTCCGGAGCTTAAGAATTTTCCCAAATCCTAAATGCAAATCGTGATTTCATGGTTTCCTTAGACCAACCGCACTGCATTCACTGCACAGTTGGCACGCTAATGAAGTGACATGTGTAACTGCGCGCACTTGGGACACACTTGTGCGTGCTGTCCCGTGCGTGCTGTCCCGTGCGTGCTGTCCCGTGCGTGCTGTTCCGTGCGTGCTGTCCCGTACGTGCTGCCCCGTGCGTGCTGTCCCGTGCTTAACTTGCTTATGAATATTTTATTGTTGTTGGCTAATTAGCTAGTGTTAGCATGACTTAAATGTAACTAGCATTTCCTCTATTTGAATGGCTGCGCAACTAGATATCAAATTTTCCTCGTCACAATTGTTCAATTGAAATCGCAAGTCAATACCATTTTACGCCAGAGCCCTGGAACATAATGAAACAAAACAAAATTGTTTTCAATCCTAAAAGACCTAAATGTTCAATCGCTATTTTATATCTTGTACGCTCTGGACACGCGTGGCACTTAGAAATTTTACTATGGTTATACTTTTTTACTGTAATAAATTTTTACTCTCGGTCTCAATATACAATTCCCTATAGCATTAGTGACTCACCTTATGTAAATTTTTATCATCTTCACAATATTCCAACATTTAAATATACCAACGTCTATATGTGCCTACATCTCAACATACCAACGTCTCAATATTCGAACATTTAACTATATACCAACATTTATCTAGACTTGCATTTGATTACACCTACATTTAACTATATACCAACATCTCAGTATAGCAACATACGGCAACATGCACAATAAAGTTGAAGGTTGCAGATAAGTCTGTCCCTGCACTTGAAATGCAGCCTAATTCAGTGCACCTGCTCTCACCCGGCCACATGTGTGGCAGTTGATGATGAATGTGAGTCTCGCATTCACTGATTGACTGAACAATTCCCTTAACTCTTTAAACGTCGGTAACGGTAAAATTTATTTGAAGCCTATCTCCTGGTATAAAAAATGATAAAGCCGCACATTCTTTCTAATTTTTTAATGTTCGTATGTTGTGAATATTGTCATTTTAATCTTCAGACATTTTCCTGATGCATTCAGTTATTTCAGTATATAATGTTAACCATACAATTGCAATATGCAATTGTATGCCACTTGCCAAGGTTGTTCATGCTTCACGATTAGTCATTCAGCTGTAACTGATTTCCCATTCATTTTCGTATAGCTTATTTACGTGATTGTCAGCTTATACAGGTTGTTTCAGAATTAAGTAACCCTTTTAATTTGTTAATAAATAAAAAACTAAGAACGTTATGAAGTTGAAACTTGTTTTATTTAAAAGAAGAACATTTTCATGGTAATATTGTATCATAGTTACGTCATTATCCTGTATAGCTTGCTAAATTTGTGTTTATAATGTTCTTCTTTTAAATAAAACAAGTTTCAACTTCATAACGTTCTTAGTTTTTTATTTATTAACAAATTAAAAGGGTTACTTAATTCTGAAACACCCTGTAGGTTAAACTACGAGTATCATTTGAAAATTCTTCGCCTACGTTTTACCTTAGTTTACACCGGAATTTTAAAATCTAGCTCGAATTATCAATCATTGTTGGATAAAATATTCTCGTATAATCTGGAGTAAACTTTTCCTTACTTATATTTATTCATTCAAATAGTTTTCGAAAATGTTTCGTTGTTTGCAAAGTTTATTCGATGAATTTCTATAACCTCAAACTGAAGCCTTGGTAATAACCTTACGCAACGAGACGTTTATTAAGTAACTGCTACATTTACTTTCACTGCGTCAAAAGATTAGCCAGCCCCTAGCAATCCATCGTTGACCACATCGTACATCTTTATTGTTATCGCTGCACTCTTGGTCAGTCTTGAATTCATTACTATTATGATCATGATTAAATTATTTACAGACAAATTATTGGGTCAGTGTCAATATTTACGTGAAGAATTATTGGGTCAACTTACGAAAATATTGACACACTTTCTTACTCGCCCCACGAACAGAGCGGCCAATCTGGGGTAGGATGATCTACGGAAGGGAAAAAAGGTCCATAGCTTTCTGAGCAAAGTCTACCTCATTACCAATCACTCACTAAAATATCATTATTTTATACTGAATAAATTTCATCATTCTATACAGAATAAATATCCTTATTTTATAGTGAATAAATATCATTATTATGTACCGAATAAATTTCATTATTTTGTACTGAATAAATTTAATTATTTTATACTGAACGAATATTGACTGAGTGGACGATAGCTCCGACGCGCCTCTACGTCGGGTTCAGTGACTCATCCAAGGTAAGGTAAATGCCAGCAAGACTTCACTTATGAGTCCTGACTCACTTCTGAGTCACGACTTACTCGCTTCTTTTGGTTCAAGATTCTGTAAATCAAAATAATTATTACATATATAATGCATGACATCACTACACGTCAGTATCACCACCGTACATAATATTCAATCAATAGTTCACCAGTGATCGCGTTTTCACGATCATTAAGAGTTCGTTCGTTCGAATTCAAGTGTAAATTCGCACGAATGTGCGAGCGTTTTCTCTTTGATTAATTATAGTCAGTTTTTTCTGCGGACTTTGGTCTCTACCATGTCAACGACCCTATACTCAGAGAAATTAAGGAGACTTTGTCCAAATTGCGATTCAGTATCATCAGTATCGTGACTATGCATCACACCACTATTCAACAGTGTCATCATCCCTTGTATGGGTAATGCTGACTCAGTTTTCCTGTAAAGGAAGTATCAGTTCTACACGCAAGAAGTGTGTCAATATTTGCACAATTTGACCCATGCATTTTACTGAGTGATCCGACTGCATTATAAGCATTTATTATTTGTCGATGATTAACCAGATGATTAAGGAAAAGATCACTAGGAATTTAATGAGGATCTGAGGATCTCATTATTTTTGCTACGTACCCGCTAATTACGCAAGAAAAATGGGAAAATAATTATTTGATACGGATTCTAAATTTGTTGTAATTAGAAGCTAATTTTTTTAATAATGAATTATTGTTCTGTGCAGCATAGGAAATGTAAAAAAATTAGAGGTCATTGACTTCCGCCTTACTTGCTACTGTTCTTAGTTATTCCTGCGCGCTGCTCCTGCTAATGGTCTGCTCCTGCCAATGGTATTGCTACGCGCTGCTCCAGCTAATGGTATTCCTACGCGCTGCTCCAGCTAATGGTATTGCTACGCGACGCTACTTAACGCAGCGCATTAATGCGTTGCTGCTCCAGACTCCCACGCTACGCGACGGACAGTCACGCGCAAGATTATCATGCCGGGCAGTCGACTTATGCGTGTCTTACGTACAGTCTTCACCTTAGATATCAAATAGCAATTTCTTGCACCTTATTTTCCTGCTCAATTTCGATTCACCACGAAGAGAAATGAAAGGCACGTAAATATATGTTAGTAATAAATACTAGTGGAATCTTAGTAAATTGTCATTTATGAGGCAAGTACAAGTGTGATTTTTTCAAGACAGGTACATTTTACTTCGAAATTAGGGGTACTTTTTGTTAGCCTTAATTTCTGATAATTTTGGTAAAATTTATAATTAAAAATTGCCAAATTTTCCTCCAATTTTCTGCCCGATTCTCCAACTGAAAAATACTTGCTGCTACCACTAGCGGCTAATACTTTTGACGTGTATAAGCACGTTTAGTTACATGGGAATTATCTGTGTACATTGAAGGAACAAACCATTTTGACATAACAAACAAAATATATGCAGAATATATACATTTTCCATTATCATTACAAAACTTTCCTCCATTGTTTATTTTGCCCATGAAAATTATGCATTGAAAGTAAAATTTGTTTAATGATCATTAATTTACAAGCGCGGATTGACGCGTACAGCCAATTATGTACGTGGCATAATCAAGATGTGCGCGTAAACGCACACGTTGAAATGCACATGTGCGCACACGGCCGCTCCCACGGTACTTGGGAACTGATCTTCCGTGGTGGTGATGGTAGCTGTGGTGTGGTGGTGTGGGTGGTGGTGGGGGTGTTGATGGTGTAGTAGCATGTAGTTGTAGTGGTCTTGGTGCTGGTGGTGGTGATGGTGGTGGCGGCATTTATAGAGATCGTGTTGATTATGTGATGGTGGTGATACAATGGTTGAAAGTGATGATGGTGGTGTTGGAGAAAAATGATAGCTGGACTCTCTGCAGTGGCTATGGAGTTGCATGTCTGGTCACTAGCATAATGAAGATATTTACCAATGATGCATTTTTTATTATTACAATTATTATGTGTCACAATGTATCATTTACGTCGCTATTGTGATTACGTTCACGATGACGCCGACAATCCCTCTTAACTCTTTTATTGTTATTTTATCTCTTCGAGATCTACCTGCATCGTACATTCGTGCCTTATTTCTCATTGATATCAAACAATGTAGTGCCTGCTTTCCTTACATCAACAAGAAAGCCAAAACTTTGATTTGTTTTGTTGATACATGCGCGATGACGTCACGTCTCCTTCGTGGTTGTGTCAGGAAAACAAGACAACATTCAGACAACTTCTTCGCACTTCCCGAACACACAAGGGAACACTCCAACAAATTCTCAGTTGTTCTCAACTACTTACATCGACTTTGTTGTTGTCAAGCTATTTGTTTGAACTGACTTTGTTGCCAATTTTGATCAGAATGTTTTTTAATATCCTATTAAGATCTTTATTCTCCGTTATGATCTTTATTTCCTCTTTTTAGTCCGATTTTAAAAGTATCTACACGTTCTACGGCTTCGTTGAAAAGTTAATCTTTAATTCAACTGACGAAATAAAGAACGCTTCATTAATTCTGCCTTCGACGATCAAAACTTCACCACTCCTGTTCTCTTCTTCACATTATATTAACGAATCATTACTTCGCTATCCATATTTACATATTTTTTGGTGCATATATTGCCTTGTGAGAATTACTATTCTCCGCATATTTAATCGATGGTGATAAGATTGTTCAAGTCTTCATATTTATACTTGCAGATGGTGAAGGAAGACCTGGTGCTGGACAGGCTCTACCCCGTCTTAACGCCCCAAGCTTCTGAACTCATTTCCAGTTACGATGAACATGCTTTGGTGAACAGCTTCAAGTTCGGCGTGATATACCAGGGCCCTGGCCAGACAACCGAGGAAGAAATGTTCTGCAACCGACAAACTACGCCCGCTTTTGATCATTTTCTTTCTCAGTTGGGACAGAGAATTCAACTCAAGGACCACAAGGGGTGAGTCCCTTCTAATGAATTATTTGTGCAATTGTTATTTTGGACCAATTAATTTACATTGTGAATCTTGTAAAGTAAATGCTTTAGCCGTGTAACAATTGCGCAATCAACAAGTTAACGATCACCACTCATTAGCAGTAAATAAGGCGTAGTTCAATATTGAAGAAAGTCACTTTGTCATCAGTTATTCTACATAATCCAACAAGTCATAAAAGATTTCGTTATAAGATATAAAAACTATACGTGTACAGATACCGAGGAGGCCTGGACACGCAGTTCGGGCAGACAGGAGTGGAGTCAGTGTACGAAGTGTTCAGAGATAAGGAGATAATGTTTCATGTCTCGACGCTGCTGCCCTACACGGAGCACGACAGTCAGCAGCTGCAGAGGAAGCGACATATCGGAAACGACATCGTGGCTATCATATTCCAGGAGCAGAACACGCCCTTCGCGCCCGACATGATCGCCTCGCACTTCCTGCATGCGTACATCGTGGTGCAGCCGCTCGAACCTGGAAACCCTTACACTAAGTGAGTGCCTTATATTATTTGTACAAATAAGATATTAATGAGGTTTGACTTTTTAATATAAATGAGGTAACGTTTGATGATGTGCACGATATTCCTGTGTTTTTATACTTAGCTATATTGAATTGTAATGATGATAATAAATCTTTTTATTGAAATTAGTGATGTGTGGCTCATCACAATCAAATATGACCCCATCAGAAGACGTATCAGTGCTGCGGGCGAAAATAGCGTTTTTATTTGGATAAATATACTCATTAATTCTTGTTAGTCTTTATTCCTTTTATGGAAATGATATATGGCCATGTAGTTTTCTTGAAAAATAATAAGGAAAGAGTTATAAAATAATTTAAAAATTTTTATTATTTTTTATTATTTTATAGATTTTTAATAAAAATTTATAAAATAATAAAAAATTTTTAGAATTTAAAAAATAATTTATAGATTTTTTTATAAATTTTCAATAAAAATTTATAAAATAATAATAAAAAAAAATTTTGGACTAGAAATAAGTATTGTTTGTGGTTGTATAGATACCAGGTAAGCGTAGCTGCCCGGTGCGACGTGCCGTTCTTCGCGCCGACGCTGCCGTGCCCCGCGGTGCTGGACGCGGGCGCCGCCTTCAAGGAGTTCCTCCTGACGAAGCTCATCAACGCGGACCTCGCCTGCCTTAAGGCCAAGAAGTTCTCCATGCTCGAGGTAAAGTAAATTGTCAGGTTTTTGCTAGGTGATTGTTTTTTATTGTTTTTTTTTATAATAGAGAATAAAGAACTAATGGTTTTTCAGTGTTTTTAATGGAGAACGAAAAGAACAATGGTTTTTCATTTGTTTTTTTTTAATATAGAGTAAAAAATGGTTTTCGATTGTTTTTTCGACTAATTTTTTAGTGGTCGATTGTCCTAAAATTGCCAGCGCTTATATTGTAAGTTCTAAATTATTGGTAGTGCTCTTAAAGCATTATTTAGCCGGTGCCTCGTCTAGGCACTTCTGGTCCAGCAACTAGTGCCGTTTGGTCTTACTTTCACTACCTCCTGGTCCCGCTTCTTAGGTCCGTTCAGGGGCATAATATATCAAAATAATTACGAGTTCATGACTACTTCAGCCAATCAGTGATGGCTTTCCAGGCTAAACCTACCAATCACAGACGAAAAATTGGCCACTGCGTGTTCGTAGGCCGCTGTTCGTAGGCTGTTTTAGAATTCCGGCCTCTGGTCCAATTAAACTATTGCACGATCTATATTACATGTGGAAAAATACGCCAGACTCAATGCAGCTATTTTGTAGGTTGATTGTCCTAAAATTCGAAGGTCGTTAATCTCTGCCGTATTAAATAATAATTAAATTGGAATAGGAATAATTTTATTTCAGGTTTTAATGTTCGACTTGTTGTTCCAGACTCGGACGCGCAAGTTGCTGCTGTCGTCGCTGGTTGAGGATCTCAGGCTCAAGAGCAACGAAGTTTTCCAGATGCCTTCAGAGGCAGAAGCTGCTAAAGCGGAGCCTTCCGGAACCAGGTTTGTCAGTGGGCACCAGGTTTGTCAGTGGGCACCAGGTTTGTCAGTGGGCGCCAGGTTTGTCAGTGGGCACCAGGTTTGTCAGTGGGCACCAGGTTTGTCAGTGGGCACCAGGTTTGTCAGTGAGCGCATAGTTTGTCAGTGGGCACCAGGTTTGTCAGTGGGGCATAGTTTGTCAGTGGGCACCAGGTTTGTCAGTGAGCGCATAGTTTGTCAGTGGGCACCAGGTTTGTCAGTGAGCGCATAGTTTGTCAGTGGGCACCAGGTTTGTCAGTGGGCACCAGGTTTGTCAGTGAGCGCATAGTTTGTCAGTGGGCACCAGGTTTGTCAGTGGGTTGTGTGGTTCAGTGGTCAGTGGTCAGTTAGTGGTTTAGTGGTTCAGATTTGAACCCACTGTTGCCAGAATGAAATTTTTTCAAACAATTGAACTAAATTTGAATTTGTTTCAATTTTCTACTCAAAATATTTTAGTTCAGGTATAACCTTCATAGGCCGTATTGTCGGTATATAGTTCATACAAGTCTGGTTGTCAATAAATGTCTACATATTTTAATTGTCAATTTAATTCCTATTCCTTTTTAAATTTATTATTATTCCTTCATATTCAATTAATTTGTCTGTCAATGCTAGAATTTTTATATTTTTTGCTTGTTTCCAGATTTTTCGACACAGTGCGCAAAGTTTTGAGCGCCACTAAAAAGCCTGACGCCGCTATATTTAAAAAAAATCAATCCTGTTCTCTTTTATATATAATCCCTCAATATTAAATTATTTCGCCTAAAATTTTCTCCATATCTTCAGATTTTTCGACACGGTGCGCAAAGTTTTGAGCGCCACCAAAAAGCCCGAGACCGCCGCCCCCCCGAGTGGACCGAACTCCGGGTCCACCAGCGGCAGTGGCCCGGGGGCGGCCCAAGGTTCGGGGGGCTGTCTCCCCTCTGGCGCCAACGGCAACAAGAAACTCCCCGTCAACGGCACCTGTCAATCTGACGGAACACCTGTGGTGAGATGGCAACTTATTGCCGTATTCGTGTTTGTTTGGATAATTAAGTTTGAATTAGAATTATTTTTTAGACTAGGCGAGGATCCATGTATATGTCCACGTAAAAAAGTTTGAAATGTTGCACGAAAAATCGGGTTAAAATTATAATTTATTTTGAGATTAGGATAACTTTTATTACTTCTAAGTATTGGGTAAAATTTTGTAATTAAAAACAATAATAACTTGTTACAATTTTTTGCATTAAACTGTTCAAATATTATTCAATGCGTCATTCTGTTATGCATTTAGCCAATATTCATAAGATTCTATACTTTTTATTATCCGTCTTTAGAGACTCTATCGAAGTGGTCAACTTATTTTTCTATCTTTCATAAAGTAAATTAGGTCAAATATACCTATTACTTTTTTTAATTTTGCAATTCAAATATGGTTAGTCAACGTACTCACATTTTTTAAATAATCGATCGTAATTATCATTTTTAAATTATAAAAAATACTTGAATGAAAATAATGATTTAATTGCAGAGCACCCGCAGCGGGGCGGGGCTTAGCACCAGCGGTGGAGGGAGCAGTGGGGGCAGGACCCCCTCCTCATCCCCCTCCTCCACCCCCCACACCACCCCCCACACCCGCAAGGCCTTCAGTGAAAGCGGCGACGACTCGAGCTTCAACTCCATCGACATGGACGGACATCAGGTCTGTTATTAATATATTACTGATGGTTATTTTATGTTCTACTCTTTATTATTATTGATTTTATTTTATGTTCAACTCTTCATCTGTTCTGTTCAGCACTATCCAATAATTTAGCGCAACATTTTCCTAAGTTGCGTACAACACTTTTCAAAGATAAGTCAAAATTTTCTACAATTTAGTTCAACACCTTTCATCATTTCAGCCCAACACTATCTATTAATTCAATTTTACACAATTCATCAGATCAGTGCAACATTATTCATAAGTTCAGTTCAACTCAGCGCTTTCAGCAGTTCAGTCCAATATTATTCATCAGTTCACTGTAACACTATTCATCAGTTCAGTTCAACACTATCCGTCAGTTAAGTTCAACACAGTTCACTGTCGATTCCGCGGAAACAACAATTAATCAAAGTTATATTCCTGTCAAGTAAACAATTAATAACTTCTGTACTCTGCTCCACAGGCCGTGCTAAACGAAGACTCCGACACCGGTCTGGAGTCGATGTCGAGCGCGGAGACCGGCCACCAGCGGGCGCTGGAGTCGCGGGCCGCGGTCCTGGACTGCCCGATGTGTGGCGGGGTGCAGGACGGGCTGGTCTGTGTGCTGCACGCCAGCCCGGAAGTTGTGGCCCGGCGTGTACAAGCGCTCAGTGAAGATGTCAAGAAACTCAAGGGCGACAAGCTGGACCTCTTGAGACAGAATGTGGTACGTTATCTTACGAACATGTGTTTATCTTACGAACATGTTGTGTTTATCTTACGAACATGTTGTGTTTATCTTACGAACATGTTGTGTTTATCATGCGAACATGTTTGTTTTCTCAGCCTAGAATCAGTAATTCAAACAATCTAATAAATCATAAAAAATAATTATATGCTTGACGTGACCTGTCGAGGTCACGTCATCACTTGAATTTTTTCTGCTGTGAGAGCATTGACATTTTATGGCTGAATGTGTTGATATTTTATGGCAAACATCAGAGTATTATCGCCAATCACGTCGTGTGCACGGAAAAAGGACTTTTTTTTTATTTTCGAATGACCTACATTAAAAGCTAACGACTAGCCTCAAACTCTTGTCGGTAGAGAAACTCCTCGAACAAGCTGCGTTTTCTGTCTCTGATTTAAAATATCTTACTCGGTTCAGTCAATAATTGTGCGTCTTAAGCATAGGTACTTTGATAGAAAACTATGAACTTTTTACAACCATCACAAGTGGTTAGTTACATGGTACACCTCAATAAATTCTTTCATTTAAACGAGTCCCGAAATCAAGGCAGTTAAGTCTAACTATCGGCAAGGAATGCCTTGCATCAAGCCTGCCGCCATAATTCTATAGTCTCCAGACAACAGGATAATAATGGGCTCCTATGGCCCCACAACTAACGATACAACTGAGTCTATTGTCATGATTAATAGTGAAGAGAAATTCATTGGCGACAACTTGATTTATTTTGATGCTGAATGTCGCGAGTTATATTTTATTCTAATTTAAAACTTCCATGTTGCAAAAAAGTGATAATACCTAAAATGTTGAAAATATTGTTTGTTTTTTTCTTCAATTCATGATGTATAATTTGTTTATATCACAATACTTTAATTTGCAGTCTCTGCAGCGCGACGTGAAGCGCCTAAAAGAGAAAGATCTTCGTCAGGCCAGCGAGCTTTCTTCCACTAACCGAGAGATCGCGAGGCTGCAATCGCTGCTGAAAGAGTTCACCACAACCAATCAGGTCTCAGCTGTCTAGTGTGGTCGCCTGCTAAGCCACAAAACGAATTCACGTTTGTGTCTGTGTGAACTTTTCAGCTTTTTTTTTCATTTTTGTGTTGGTGTTTTGAAGGTCGTGAACTGCAAGTTAGCTTAGTGATCGCGTTACTAATCAGTTGTCGGAACAATGATGCTCCGGCTATCAAGTGTTAGCATTCCGAGGTAGCAACAACTGCATTTTCTATAGTCAGTAAAAGCAGTTGTGGCTTGCGATAAGAATCCTACTTTCAGTCGAAGGATTCTCTTTTTTGAACTTGTGAAGTGTTCAAGTCTTGAGTTCATTCAGTGTTTTTTACCACCTACTTTCATAATATTTGTCATCATTATGAATTGATATTTTGCAAGAACTATGTGCTAAAAGGGCTAAAAAATATCGCTTATTTACTGACGACAAACCCCAAGAATACCGCATTGAGGTGGAGGCTGGTTACCATAGTTACCATCTCATGTTGTTTGTGGAAGTATAAATCTCTATGTTATATGTACGTATGTTACTTGTTGTCATGCTGCCATTATAAATGAGAGATTTTAATGTCTTTCTTCAATTGCTACAAGTTTCTAATTTAATTCATAGCGGTGCACTTGGAATTTAGACGGGGTTATTTTCAGTCCGTTCTTAATGTAAGCTAAAATTGCTTTCAGAATTTCAACAGAAATTTCAAAATTTCCCGTAAAGTTTGAACTAATTTTACATTTTAAAACATTTTTTGACCTAGTTATTGTACCTATATAATGTCAAACTGATTTTTCTGCAAGCTAAAATTGAGTATCTTTTGCAATGAATAACTCGCTAAAGTTGAACTTAAAGTTTTCTTAGCCTCGAATAATTAATTAAAACAATCTAATAAATCAAAGAAAATTATCTTAACATATCTTGCAATCTGGAGTTTAATTTTATAAATTTCTTAACTAATTTTGAACTTCATAATTTAGCATTAACTTAACCCTCAAATAAAAAACGGATAAAAATCATTCGTCTGAACCAATACTTTTTATGACTCGTGTGAATTTCATCCGTGTTTTTTTTTCTTTGCAACTTGGTAGTGGTGCATTAATGATTGTCATGAAGAACTGTTGTTCTGCGTTCTCTTTCCGCCTGTTCAACAGGATTTCATCATCCCTGCCCCTATGTTACCATAATACATCCTGTGAATCACTTGACTTGACGAAGGCAGTCGTGGCAAATATTCTCGATACTTCGTTTCGTTTGCATGCTGTTTTGTACATATTTTTTCTCGTTGACTTCAGTTATAAATTTTACCGTTTGCGTTTTGTTTCTATACACAAGGTAAAGGATTGTTTTATAGCGAAGCTAGATCAACATTGTTTAACATCCTCTGTCCAAAAAAAAATTATTATTTTTTCATGGACTGGATTCATGTCTAATTTTTTTTTATGGACAATTTCTAGTTTTGCTTGCGATTTACCGAACTCTTCTTAAGTGGTCACTTTATTGAGTCCACATCTGCTTCGTCTTTTCCAAGTGTACGATTTAAATGAGTTGTGTCTATATTACCTATTTACTCCTTATGTAATTTTTAATGAGAATTATAGTGAGGTGCGTGGGCTGATGTCGATTATTAGGTTATTGTTACGTTATGCGTGGTTTCCTTAATAAAATAATGTCTTCATATATCTATGCCCTGCCACGCTATCAGTAAATACCGCCAACTCCCACCGAAATATTTCCATTGTGTTTCTAAGTACTTTTCATCTTATATTCTTATGACTTCTTCATTCCACTTACATTCCTCTATTCCCAAATCCATCGTCTCTTAACGAATGTTAAAAGGTACAACTTTTCGAGGTATTTAATGGACACAATTGTTTTTTTATTCTCATTGTCAGTACCCCCGGTGTATTTCTCGTTAATTTTAAATTCTGTTCCTTACCTTGAACTAAATGTTCGTTGCTGCTTAGTGTCATCTGCGGAAAACTTGCGTGCCTCTCAAGCCTAAAATTCAAACAATACTGATGAGTCAGTGGAGCCTTTAACGCTTAACTGCTTTAAATAACTGCAAGAACACGCCAAATCAAACCTAGTGGCCTAAGGAGAGGTAATTTTCACCTTAAAATCTGTTACTTTCGTGGTAAATGAGGAGATAAGAGCTTTCTTTTATCTACTTTTTCCCCTCTAGAATTACAGCGGCAGACCAAAGTACCGAATATCCTTAGCTCTATAGTAGCGTTTGTAAATAAAAGTATCCTTATAATTTAGTACTTCTTTACAAGTCATGGAGAACATTATATCTCATATCGTTCTTCTTACGTGCACTTTTGTTCTAAGCTTATTATTACAAAGAAATTAGCATGGAACAAAGTTGAAGTCTGCATCGACCAAAGTTAGTTGATACGATCGGAAGTTGAATCGGGTATTAAGACATGAAAATCAATTTTTTATCCCTGCATTTCTTTTGATGTGAAAATTGAAATATTGTTTGACAATCATTGTAATGGATTGTGAAAATGACCGGCGATTTTTTTATCCGTAACATTTTTTTCATAGTAAAACCTCATCAGCGGATGTTGCATTTTTTTAATCCGTTCAAACGAAAAGGTATGAATACACTAAATATGCCATGCATTCAGTTAATGGTCTTGACCGTTTTGAAAATACGAATTTGTTCTAAATTGGTCTTGAATGTGCCACATCAAAATTTTGAATTGCTTAGCTGCAAGAAAATCTGAGGAGATCAAAGCAAATCGAACCAGAGTTCAATTTTAGGGAAATGAGAGCGGTGATTATAGATTTAAATCATAGTAGTGATGGACTCATATCTTCTGTGCATTTCAAAACAGTTTCGTCTCTAGACCAAATAATCGTAGCCTGTAAGTCCCGTACTCGATTGCCGAAGTTCTATCGTGTTTGTAACGTGTTCTGTTCTGCTCCGACCTGATAGATGTGCACTTAAATAGAAGTTTCCTAGTGAGACTATTTATATTATATACTTATTTTAGTTAATAGAATTTCTCACAAGAGTACAATATCTACTCATGTTTAACTTGCGCAATCCTCTAAGTGTTACTTAGATTACAATGTGTATCTCTCCACTCAGTTAAAATCTCTCTTGGATCCATTCATGTCGTAAAAGAATTTAAATAATTTCGATCAATACTTCTTGTAGAACGATGGTTAGTATTTTCTGTCGAAGTCCGTGCTTTATGTGTGTTCTATAAACCCAATTTGTGTACGGCGTTTGTTAAACAAACATTAAGTTAATATTGAGAGTCCCTACGTACGTTTCTTCAGCAAGTTTCATACATTTTAACATCCATCATCTACGATGGCAAGTTGTAAGAACAAAAAAACTGCTTTCTTTTCAGTAAATTGTTCACTTCCTTTCGCATTATCTTGCACCCCGCAGCTCATTGGTGAATGGGACCAATTAATCACAATGATCCAAATCTGTACCTTAGAAATAAATATTTTTCAATCGTGCAGCGAAAGGCGCCTGCTTTAAAATTATCACCATTGTATTTAGTAGATGCAATGAAATCTTTCATCGCTATCTTAATAAACTGTATCGCTTACTATCTCAATTAAAACATCCTTATCATGTTTCCATGGCATCGAGACTCGATAATCAACTTTAATTACGCTTACGACTTCGATTATGTTACTGTTGCCTCAATATACGGCAACCCCGGGAACATGTACATTGTTCAATTACTGCCTCATCATCGCATGGAACGTTCCTGCGCAAAGTATAAATGTTTAGATGGTCAAAATATACGTATGTATGTAATCTACATTAGTTTTATTGCCCTAGAAATCATAGGATATTCCTCTAGGGGATAAAATTTTGTCCTGTCGATGCCACGCGCTACTACAGGAAACTTTGACAATATTATTGTTAATCTTATGAGGTCAAGTGAAGATATCATATGCATTTCAGTTAAATATATTTCGTTACTGAAGAATAGAGGCAGCGTATGCTGCCGGTTTCCTTTAAGTAATTGCGTTATGTGGAAGTATTGCACCGATTTTTGAGGAGTGTTCGTTGCCGAATTAAATAAGAAATAATGAAGTAAATTATGTGAGTGTGTAACTTAATGCAGATTAAAGATCAATAACTGCATTTAACTGGTAATATTGTAATGTAATTGTAATGAAATATTGCTCAATTTATCCAATGTGGAAGGTATACAATTCTCAAAATTGTCGTTTAGTTTTTTTTTTTAACACACTCTGCTTTTTAATATTTAGAAGGAATGTTTAATATGAATTATTTAAACATAGAGGCCCAGAAGTTTTTTATGGAAAGCATTCTTGATTTTTTCACAATTTCAAATTTTGTTTATTTATTTAAACACCGAACCATGTTCGGCTCTGTGATAAAATCAGCCTTCGACTATTGAAGAAGGAATTCATATTCGTTAGAGATTTATTAATAATTACCTTGATACTAATCCGTATGCATGAAGCTCGTCCGTAAAATAGATGCAAATAGTACCCAATTAGGTCAAATTCGTGATGCAGATAATAGATGTAAAAAATATATAAATAAATTTATTATTGACAATCTTCTTATTGTTTTTCTCTATTCAGCGAATTATCTCTGGTCTCCAATGAGACCTGCATTAACGAACAGCTTCTGCCAAACTTCAAAAATAAATTTATATATACTATTAAGCGGATTTTAATGTTGCTCCTGAAACAGAATTAAGCGGAAGCGGCAATCGGTGCTGCATTCCTCTCTATTTTAGGAGTTGAACTTTCGGAATTAATTGCGATTGCAGCTGCAGGTGAATTCGATGCGCGTGAAATCGACTATAAATTCAATTGATGACTGCAACATAGGCCTACGATGGCCAGCGAGGAGAATTGCAATCCTACTTGTAACGATGTTCTTCAACAAATAAAGGCAAGAAAATTATATGAAATGAATTTAGAATTTTTACCCTAGGGCCTAATAACCAATTAGGTAGGCTAGCTAATCCTAGGAAAATTCAACTACCTAAACTTAGTCTTTTGTCAAGGATCAACTTTAGCGGTAATCATGCTAAGCATTACATAGTGGCAAACCAGTGATTTTTTAAAATCAGTTCATTTTTAATTTCCTCCTTTACTCAAGATTTTAACAGATTTCTTATGTATGATAATTCTGGTATGATATCCAAGATACTTTACTGGTCTACTTATAGGACTCAAAAATGAACTTAAGGAAGAGTCTAAAAAACTCTGCTTTGCCACTATGCTAAGCAAATCATAATTAATTGATGTACAAATGAAAGATGAAAACTCGGATATTTTTAAAATATTTATACTTCTAATTCTAAATGTTTAATTAATATACACTCATTTTTGCACTCTATTCATTTAGATTTTTGGTTTCCTGTTTTGACTTTTGACCTCATTGACTCCTAATTTTAAAAGTTTTAGATTCTGTATCTGCAATATATCATTAGCCTATAACCTAGGGTAAACGCGGTATATTCCGACATCGTAGGTAATTCCGTCACTTCTCTAGTTTTTCCTTTATATTATGCTTTGTTTTAGTTCCATGCGTTCATTGATGGTTGAAATGGTGACGTCCCAGGTCTCATACAATGGCAATAGTCGTTGTAATTTCAACGACTTTCGCTGAAGTTATCGACCAATTTTTTTACTTTACAACGACTTTCGAGCTAAAATAATAGG